ACCTGCTCCCCAGACAACTGGCTTCCTTGGCCTGCAATGCCACAGGGCCTGCCTGACTGCACATCCTCCCACAGTGTCTGAGCAGACATCTCAACTCAGTCCTCCAGCCCCTGTCCAGCCAGAGGACTATGAAAGGTCCCAAAGGGTCTCCTAGTGCCAAATGCTAGAGAATCTCCACTTTCTCACCTAGGAATATCTCCTCTTCTGGGAATCTACCCAAAGGAGTCATCCTTGATACACAAAGATCTACCTCTTGCATCCCTGTCTAGAATAGTAAATAATTGGCAGTGACCTAAATGTGCAACTACAGAAGATCTGATAAATAAATCATGCATATCTACCAAATCCACAAGCTGGAGGACTATGCAGTCATTGACAATGTTGTTTTGAAGACAAGGAAATCACACCCATGACCACACATGTTTCAAGATGAAATTATGTTGAAAAAGGGGGAGCAGGTCACAAAACAATGTGAATGTACTTAACACATCTAGACTATACACTTAAAATTGTTAAGATGGTAAATTTTATGTTAGGTGTATTTTACCACGATTAAATAAATTTTAAAATGCAAGAAGAAGGGTGGGGGAGCATACAAAACCAAGTGAACAATACACTTGCACCAATGTAAAATAATCTTAGAGAAACACGATGTAATATTACCCAATGTCTCTGTGTGATGAGACAACGTGGTCGCTTTATTCCTGCTTTTCTCTATTTTCCACTTTCCTTTTAGGATCTTATATTTGTTACTTTTGTTTATTTAGAAGGTATGTTCATAACTCTAAGTGCCCAGAACAGAACAGGTGCCCAGTGAACATCAGCCTTGCTTGATTTTCCATGAGGCCCTGGGGCCACTGTTGGCAGGTCCTGAAGTGGAGGGACAAGCAGCTTTAGGGCAAGCCAAAAATGTGGCCCCTCTCTCTAGCCTCCTAAATGGGGAACCTCAGAATCTCAGAACTGGGAAGGGAAAGATGCAACGGCAGCGGAGTGGACACATGGGGGAGGGGTGAGCCCAGACTCAGCCCCCTGTACCCCCCCCCAGTAATTCATCCCCCCACCCAGGGAATATTATCTTCCTCTCCCTTCTGTCTGCTGGGGTCCTCAGCCCCTCCCAGTTTGGCACAGAAGCTTCCAGATGAAGTTGGAGAGGAGAGATGTGACCACAAATCAGAAGGAAAAGTTTAATTCTGTTCTCTCTGTCCCCTTTGATCGTTCCTGCCTAAAGATGGGAGTGGTGGTGGTGAGAGGTCACTGCAGTATCTCTGGCCCAGCCTCCGCAGGCCCTTACTTTTCCTTTTAATGGCCCCAAGAGGGATAGGATGTGAATCTCAATAAAGCCTGGTCCAGGGCTTGAGTTTCTTTCTTAAAACAATACCCAGTGATTTCCTTGAAAAGGTCATTGGATGTGTAAGTCTGGGAGAAAGCGAGACAGTGGGAAGGGAAGGCACACCTCAGAGGCCTGCTCCTCTTGGTACACAGGGCCTGGCCCAGTTATCAGGGAAACTCAGTTCCCATCACTGGGCAAGGACTCCCTTGAGGACAAAAAGGTCTCATTCATTGGATTGGATGTAGGGGTGAGGCTCAGGGATCCAGTTTAAATCAGCTCATTGAGAGCCCTGCTTAACAAGTATTTGTGAAATATAACTAAACTGATATCGAGGAAAAAATTGATTCAAGAGGGCAGGTGGGACCATAGAGATGCTCTCTGTTTGTTCATTTATTCTACAAACATTAACTGAGTACAAACCCTACTTGCCAGTCCTGTGTGGAGGATACACAGATATTTGTTGTATTACATTTCAGTTGTCTGCTGGGAGCAGAGTCACTGGTGAGGAGAGCTGTATGTATGGGAGGGGTGGAGGGAAGCACCCGGCCTCCTCTGGGCTTCTGTGCCTCTCTGACTTGGTGCCGAGGCAGAGGTAATAAGAGATGTAAAGCTTTCCCAGCTCAGGCATCTGTATTCTCAGCTTTACCCTAGTCTCACTGATAGGCTCTGTTCTGAGGCTCAGCCACAAACTTCCTGCCAACCCATGATGCTCTTTGTCACTGTGTGTATATAACAGAAATCAAATTATCCCTCCCTATGTGGCTAGCCTACTCCTACCTCATTGCCACCACAGCCTGCATCTGAATGCTCTGCTGCAGATAAAAGTAGGCTATAAATAAATACTGTGCGGCCACACTGATAACATGGCCAATGCAGGCCCATTGAGGGACAGGGCTGGTCTGCTCCTGTGCTGAATGTTTCTACCACTTTTGAAACATTATGTCTGCTTTTTATCATTTTCCTGTCTCCTCCTTTATTCTAAGGCTGCCAGTTATCTATGAAACTGTCTTTAACAGTTCAGGTCCACCAATATTTATCAATCACCAACTACATATCACAGATCCACACAGATCCCTACTAATTGTTACATCTATGGGTTAAAAGACCACATGAGCGGTCTTGTTAAAATTGTGGGTAAAATCAGAGTTCATAGGCCCTTTTAAAGCTATGGACCATCTCTTATAAGTATATGAGCTTCTCTTAGCTTATAGCTTCTCTTAGCTTCACTCTTAGCTTTTCAAAAATGACTTTTGACTCTCTTTTCACTGTGAGCTAGTGCCAGAAACAGGGCTGGTGACACCTGTGCTCTGGAAAGTTGAGGTTGCTGCGTAACTGAAGTGCTGTGGTATTAGACATGGTTCCTCTAGTTCCAGCGTTTCCTTCCGCTATTAAAGATTAGTCATTTTCCGTGTGTGGCTCAGCTGCAGGGTTCAGTGGCATGGTCTCGAGCTGGGGTAGGGAAACCAGAGGGGAAGAGGCAGCCTGTTAGATAAGTATGCCTTCTTTGTTTTGCAGATTTGTGTGTAAATGGAACTTCAAGTTACTTCTATGAACCTTGTCTGATCTTTTTACTTTTCTGGGAGGTGGAAAGGACAGAAATTTTTTGTTCATTTTACCAATGTAGCCCCAAAATTTAGCGATCAGCTATGTTAAGAGGATAATGAAACCTCCTGGGCGAGAACCCAGGCACTGAAGCCAGCCTGTTGGGGTTCAATCCAAGCTGTATGATCTTGGACAAGTTACTTAAGCTCTCTGTGCCTTCATTTTTCCCTCTGAGTAATATGGATAAAAATAGCATCTACATCATCGGTTTAAATGAGTGAATTGACACATGATCTTGTGAGTGTTAGTTGTCCTCATGGGCCGAGGGTCAGGAAGAGGTATTAGAATTCAAAGCCCTGGGAGCAATGCTGCTGACAGTGACCTTATGAAGCATCAGCCCAAGCTCAGGGCGCCAGGCTCCCACTGGCCACTTCTCTTCCTGCTCCCAGCTCTGGCCTTCCACAGGAAAGCTGTACCCTAATGTCAGGCATACGGAGCCATCAGTGGAGGAGAGGAGGCCTCTGGAGGCCATGAGGCCCACAGTAGCTCAGAGGTGGGGCCAGGGCGGTGAGTGGCAGGATGCCGCTCAGGAAGCTGCCTTCCTGCTGCTGCTTCTGCTGCTGCTGCCGCCACACCCTGCTCCCTCATACACCATTCCCTGTTGCCCAGACCCTGCCATGGGGCTGCTCCTTACCCCAGCTCTGCCATAGGAAAGATGAGCCTAGGCACTCTGGTCTGGGACAGATGTTCTGGAGGTAAAACTATCAGGGACTCCTGGCCTACTCTGGGCTACACAGCAACCTAGATTTTCAGGTATTCCCTCTTTCTCAAATTTTGCGCTCCAAGTCAGAGTAGGCATGTGGCGACTCACCATCCTTGTCTCCCCCACTGCAGCCACCCATCCATGGCATGATCCCCTGCTGCCAGCCTGGTGCACGGGGTGGGTTGAGCCAGGTCTGCTTCCATGGGCTTCTCTGGGCTGGTCCCATGTCCTCTTTGTAGAGAGAGGGAAGCAGAGGCCCAGAGAGATACACAGTGCCCTCCCCAGGTGGCCTTCTGCCCACTGTGTGGTCAGTATAGGCAGGAAGCAGGTCACTCACATGCTGGCCATAGGCCCCAGAAAAGGACCAGGGAAGGAAGACTGTTGACTGAGGCAAAAGGCCAGGCAGTCCTCTATGGAGCTGGGGAAGGGGCCTTCAAAACATTCACGTTTCTCAGCTCTCACCAGAGGGGTCTCAGCTTTTCCCCATGAGCCACTGGGGACAGCCAGAGCTTCAGGTGCAGAGGGGAAGGCTGAGGGACAGCTGGAAAAATTCTGAGGGGATCTGGGACCCAAATTGGGCTTGCAGGCTGTGGCCAAGCCATTTAACCTCCATGGGGCAGCCAGGTGCCTTTCTGTGTGGCAGAAAGGATTTAATTTATACTTGCACTGAATTTAAGATATTGATCAGGGAATTGCCCAGCCCAGCCCTGTTGCCTCCTCAAAGGGTCCCTAAGGACTGCAAGGAAAAAGAGTTGGGTGAGGGAAGAGAATTAGCATTTGAATGCCAGTGAGGTGCTGGGGATTTTATTATATTTGATCACCTTGTTTAATCCTTCTGTTCAACTGATATATTTATTAATATTTATCTCCACTATGTAGATGGGGAAAGTGAGGATCAGAGAGGTAAGAATGACTTGTCCACCCTTTAAACCGTAGAGCCAAGATGTGAATTCAAGTTTGTTTGGTCCCCAAACCTGTGACCCATTCCCTTCTTTGCCTCACATGGCCACCTCCAACTCCCACCCACATATTAGTTTTTCCTAAAAAGATCCTGTTGTGGAGAGAGGGTCACCTGTAGGAGAAATCAGTCCTGGGAGTACAGAGGTTATCTCTCACCCACTGTATTGAAGTCTGCAGAGAAATTATACACCAGGCTGAGGAACTCCTTCATCTTCCAACACAGAAGGGACAGTGGCCCAGCTCACCTCCACAGTGAAGACAAGAAAATCAACCACTGTTTTTACGAGAAAACGTCTCTCTTCTCTTGAAACCACACCCCCATCAAGTTCCCTGGGGAAAATTCAGCCAATCTGCCCTCCCTGGAGCCTATCCCACTTCTTTAACTCCCTGACAATCTTCACTCACCCAAAAGGCATCTCTGAACTGAAGCTGGGGCATCATCCTCAGGCTGCTACGACAAAGCTTTCTCTTCACCCACAGACAGGGCTGACTGAGGTCCAGGAGCCAGGAGCACTGCCCCAGTCCTGGCAAGGTTGGCCCAGCCTCCCTTGACTCGGTTGGTACTATCTGGAGCACTGCAGAAGGTACCTACAAGCCAGAGATGAGCTGTCTGAGATGAGCTGCCAGTGGGAGGCAAAGGGCTCAGTCTGCTTTGTTTGAAGTTAGAATCGGCAGTAAAATGAGGAAGGAGCAGTGCCCAGTGATGGGAGGGCGGGTCCTGGTTTCCTGCCCAGCCCCTTGCCAGCCCCTTGCCAGCCCCACAGTGATGGAGGACACAGTCCAGGTTACAGGGCTGAGCAGGGATGCCAGCCCAGGTGGGAAGCAGTGTCCAGCAGGAGATGCAGGTTGTTAGGCCAGATGCAGGCAGCCTGAGCCTGTGCAAAAAAGTTTGTGCAGCCTCCCTGCTGGAGTCAGGCATCAGGTCCCTCACCCACAGGAAGTAGAGCTGCAATGCTCCCTTGCACAGCTCCTCTGCATTCTCAGAAGGCATAAACTTAGGTAGCTTGAGGGCACTGAAGGTGTGGACAAGGAGGGGTCAGGAGCTGGGGTGCTGCAGTCTACCACCCCAGCCTCACTCCAGACCAAGCACATAAATGCTAGGCTCTCCACCCCTCACAAGCAAACCATTTGGGAGGAGATTTTTTAGGTATAGAATATCATTATTATTTACCAAACCCTAGTTTCACAGTGCTGCAATCCACACCCTGTCCTCAAGAAGCTCGTGGTATGGGAGCAGACATAGCTGTGTGCTGTGGTCCATAGGGACACTGAGATGGGTGAGTGGGTAACTGGCCAAGGGAGAAGAGCTTGAGGCTTTATGGGCACTGAACTTCTGTTCTCCAGTCTCCAGATTGGACACTTTCTGGGGCAGGAAGCACCCTCTAACAATGGAATCTTCAAGCTGGAAGACTGCTTAGACAAAGAAAGACAATATTATAAATGTACAGATGTGGGAGTTTGAAAGCCAGGTTGAAGTAGTTCCTGTTTTGTCTGGGCCCTACCATTCATTGGTTGAGGGACCTTAATTGATGCTTCAACATTATGAGCCTCAGTTTCTGCATCTGCCACCCTCAATCTTTGTAAGGAAGAAAGAATTGAGACCATTACTGGAATTTCTGGTTTGGCTAGGCAGGTGCTGGGAGCACTGTCAGGTACCACCTTGAGAAAAGCCCTGGACTGGAATCTCAGACACAGCTCTGAGGAGCCATGGCCTGCCCACTAAGTAGAAGATGCCAGTGGGGGGCCTGAGCCCAGGGCCAGGTGTCAAGTAGGGGTGAGTCAGCTTGTTCACAAGTCAGCACCCTTGCTGAGCACCCCCATTGATTAGGTCAGTGATAGGGGACACTCAAACTTCTGAAATAGTTGCCAAGAGAGAACACATCAGGGAGAATTGCAGAGCAGTGAGGCTGCCCCTGGTATCCCCCACCTCCAGAATCCTTTGTTGTGAGCTAATAAACATCTTTAACATTGAAGACACCCCAGCTGCTTGCAACTGAAGACAGCTATGAACCCTGAGGGGGGGAAAAACACCTATTAAGAAGGGCTCCTGGTGCCTAACTGAGCTCAAATTTTATTTTATTTTATTTCATTTCACTTATTTTTTTGATTTAATATTTATTGTATATTTTTTTCCATTACCATTTGGTCCCCTAACCACCCACACTGTTGTTCATGTCTATGAGTTCTTTTTTCTTTTTGTTCAATCCTAGCTGTCATTCTGCTCTCCATCTATGAGCTTGTGCCCATTTTCCTTGTTAGTTCAGTATGTTCATTAGATTCCACATATGAGTGAAATCATATGGCATTTGTCTTTCTCTGACTGGCTTATTTCACTTAGCATAATTTTCTCCAGGTCCATCCATACTGTTGCAAAGGGTAAAACTTTCTTCTTTTTTAAGGCCAAGCAGTATTCTGTTGTGTAAATGTCCCATAGTTGTTTTAACTACTCATGTACTGATGGACACTTGGGCTGCTTCCATATCTTGGTGATTGTAAATAATGCTGCAATGAACATAGAAGTGTTTATGTTCTTTAAAATTAATGTTTTGGGTGCATTCCCAGCAGTTGGAATTCTGAGACAAAAGGCAAATCCATTTTTAATTTTTTGAGGTATCTCCATACTGCTTTTCACAGAGGCTGCACCAATCTGCATTCCCACTAACAGTGCAAAAAGGTTCCCTTTTCTCCAGTTTGTCACCAGCACTTGTTTGTTGATTTATTGATAGCCATTCTGATAGGTGTAAGATGATATGTCATTGTGGTTTTAATTTGCACTTCTCTGATGATTAGTGACGTGTAGCATCTTTTTATATGTCTATTGGCCATCTGTATGTCCTTTTTGGATAAGTGTCTCTTCAGGTCATTTGCCTATTTTTTAATTAGGTTTTTTCCTTCTGTGTTGAGTTTTATAATTTCTTTATAAATTTTGGATATTTTAACTCCTTATCAGATGTATTTGTGAGTATGTTTTCCCATTCTGTGGGTTATCATTTTATTTTGTGGATGATTTCCTTTGCTGTGCAAAAACTTTTTAGTTTGATGCAGTCTCATTTGTTTATTTTTTCTTTTGTTTCCCTTGACTGGGGAGATACATTTGATAAAATATTGCTATGAGCAATGTCGGAGATTTTTCTGCCTATGTTTTCCTTTAGGAGTTTTATGGTTCAGGCCTACCATTTAAGTCTTTAATCCATTTTGAATTTATTCTTGTACATGGTGTAAGAAGCTGACCTAGTTTCGTTTTTCTGCAGGTTATCTGTTCAATTTTCCCAATGCCATTTATTGAACAGACTGTCTTTAGCCCATTGTATGTACTTGCTTTCTCTGTTGAATATTAATTGGCTATAAAGTTGTGGATTTATTTCTGGGATCTCTAGTCTGTCCCATTGATCTATGTGTCTGTTTTTATGCCTGTACCATGCTGTTTCGATTACTATGGCCTTATAGTATAGTTTCATATTAGGTAGCGTGATCCCTGAAACTTGGTTCTTCTTTCTCAGAATCACAGTTGCTATGTGGGGCCTTTTGTGATTCCATATAAATTTTTGAAATATTTGTTCTAGTTCTGTGAAATACTTCATTGGAGTCTTGATAGGGATTGTGCTGAATCTATAGATTGCTCTAGGTGGTATGGACATTAATGATATTAATTCTTCCTATCCATGAACACAGTATGTGCTTCCATTTGTTTGTATCTTCTTCAATTTCTTTCTTCAGTGTCATAATTTCCGAGTGCTGCAAGTCTTTTACATCCTTGGTTAGGTTTATTCCTAGGTATTTTATTCTTTTGTAGTAGTTGTGAATGGGATTGTTTTCTTAATTTCCCTTTCCATTAGTTCTTTATTGACATATAAAAATGCAACTGATTTCTGGATATTAATTTTATATCCTGCTACTTTGATTAATTCGTCAGTTCTAGTACTTTCTTGGTAGAATCTTTGGGGCTCTCTACGTATAATATGTCATCTGCAGATAATGACACTTTTACTTCTTTCTTTCCAATTTGGATGCCTTTTATTTCTTCTTGTGTTGTGGCTAGAACTTCTACTACTATGTTGAAATAGAGAGGTGAAAGCAGATGTCCCTGTCTTGTTCCCAGTCTTAAGGGGAACACTTGTAGTTTTTGCCTATTGAATATGATGCTGGCAGTGGGTTTGCCATATATGGCTTTTATTATATTTAGGTATGTTCCCTGATCCCTCTTCTCATAATTTTCTGAGAGTTTTTTTTTTTTAAATCATAAGTGGGCACTGGATTTTATCAAATGCTTTTTTAGCATCTATTGACCTGATCATGTGCTTTTTATCCTTCATTCTGTTTATGTGGTGAATCACATTTATTGATTTGCAAAATGTACCAACTTTGCATTCCCAAAATAAATCTCACTTGATCATGGTGTATGATCTTTTTGATACATTGCTGTATTTGGTTTCTTAGTATTTAGTTGAGGACTTAGCATCTATGTTCATCATGGCTGTTGGCCTATAATTTTCTTTCTTTATAGTCTCTTTATCTGGTTTTAGAATCAGGATAATCCTTGCCTTGTGAAATGGTTTAGGAGCCTTCCCATGTCTTGAATTTTATGAAATACTTTGAGAATGATAAGTAATAGTTCTTAGAATGTTTGGTAAAATCCACCTGTGAAATGATCTGGTCCAGGGCTTTTGTTTGTTAGGAGTTTTGTTTTTTTTTAATTACTGCTTCAATTTCATTAGGTGTAATCTGCCTATTCAGATTCTCTGGTTCTTCCTGTTTAAGTTTTGTATGTTTCTAGGAATTTATCCATTTCATCTAGGTTGTACAGTTTTTTGGCATGTAGCTGTTCATAATATTTTCTTAAAACCCTTTGTATTTCTTTGGTGTCAGTTATTTTTCTTTGTTTATTTCTCATTTTATTTATTTGGGTCCTCTCTCTTTCTCTCTCTCTCTCTCTCTCTAATGAGTCTGATTAAAGGTTTATTGGTCTTGTTTATCTTTTTGAAGAACCAGCTCTGGATTAATTGACCTTGTATATAATTTTTAAGACTATATTTTATTTCTGCTCTGATCTTTATTATTTCCTTCCTTCTACTCATTTTGGTCTTTGTTGTTCTTTTTCAAGTTCCTTTAAGTTTGAGGTTAAAGTGTTTACTTGAGCTTTTCCTTGGTTTTCTTTTCTCTTCTCTTCTCTGTCTCTCTGTCTCTCTGTCTGTCTGTCTGTCTCTCTCTCTCTCTCTCTTTCCCCCCAGATTGGCCTGTAATGCTAAGAATTTCCCTCCTAAGATTGCTTTCTGAGTGTACCACAGGTTTTGGATTGTTGTGTACTCATTTTCATTTGTTTCAAGGCATCTTTTGATTTCTTCCTTGATCTCATTGTTGACCCCATTTATTGTTTAATAACATGTTATTTAGTTTTCATGTCTTTGTGTGTTTTTCAGCATTCTTCTTGTGATTGATTTCTAGTTTCATAATATTGAGGTCAGAGAACATGCTTGATATGATTTCAGTCTTCTTAAGTTTACTGAGACTTGTTTTGTGTCCTAACATGTGATCTATCTTAGAAAATGTCCCACGTGCACTTGAAAA